TAATTGCTTTAAGCCTTATAGTCATCATCTGCGAAACGGGACTAATGACAGTAACTACTTTGTAGAGTTGCTGTAATGATTAAACGGAAAGATGATGGTACAGCACTCTGAACAGTGCCTGGCTATGTGACGTCTTCATTGTCAATATCAGCGGCACAGCATTCTGCCAATGTGCTTCTTGCATCTGCAACTTTTCCTCATAAATATGAAGGAAGTAATCCATTATAATTTGTACTTTAGCCTTCACATGATAGCTTTAACTAACAGACCCTTCAAGCACCATGGGGGAAAAAATTCAGAAGGCCATTCAGCTTGCCTTTTCCCAAACTCAATTTTGTTGGCATTTATTTTTCAAAGATATTTGAGATTTGAACAATAAAGATGAGAAGTAACTCTTTGACCTCAAAACAAGAAATGTTTCTGAAGTTTTCAAATTATACAATTATGTCAATTTGCATTAAGCAGAAATAAAGCCACATTTTTTGTCTTTCTATAACTTGATGTAAGGGAATTCCCGGAGGCCTCTCTCTGGAGCTTTTTTGCATACTAATTATTCAATGGTTTAAATCACAGCACCAGCACCATCTATTGGGGAGTTTTTTTCCTGAAACAAATGTGTCTGCAATTCTGAAAAGATATATATGTATATAACAAAATTAATTTAGGTCCATTTCAATTCTTTATTAAGATAAAAAGAAAAGTTCATTTTAGTAAATAATTTCTTCTAATGAATGAACTCAGAAATTGGTAGAAATCGTAAGTAAAATCTCCATGATATTCATTGTTTGGTGCAGTACATTTTGAGACATTAAAAAAAAATAAATATCAAAAAAGTAATAGGCCTTAGGGGAGCATAAGTCTTCCCTAATTATCACAGTCTGATGCACGCATGCCTTTTGCCTGCTAATGACTGGGGAGATGTGGCAATTTCCTTTAAAAATCCAGCCCCTTGTCATTCTTTTGTGCCAAGATAATTCAGATGCAAAGGATGAAGAGCAGATTAGGCCATGATCCACTGATCATAACTTTCTATTGGATTTATAGCACCAGATGGCCTAATTATTCTCAACAGTTCTCAATCTCTGTCTGTCGGGGAGACCAGATGTAATTTCTACCTTCTGGTGAAATAAACTCCTAAGATTGAATACAAGAAATAAAATGCGAAACATAGACCAAATAATTGAGATAAAAAGTTATTAGAAGTGAGTCCACATCTCTGAGCAAAGGCACCTGGGGCCATCATCTCCTCATCTACTGAAGACAAGTTTTAGGGATGGTACAGTTCCAGGTACACAGGAGGCATTTTGATAGTGGCTACATTTTAACTATAGGTATTTGTTTTTATTCAAATACACACATATAAACACACATGCGTGTGTGTGATTATACAAATAAAACACATAGAATTGTTGTTTCCTTTCAGTGCCATTTGGTCTCACATTTACCTTTTGCTTCTCCTTAAGTTAAATCTTTTTTTTCAATAAGTTAATATCGTGTTAAAAAAAAAAAAGTCAATGTGCTAAAAATGGCCCCTTATTCAGTTCTGTTTAAGATACAATTCAAATCATGGCTCATTTGTATTTTGCTACATGCCTATCTTCTAAGGGTTTGACTAATTCCAGCATGCCTTCTGTCTTCCCAAGTAATTCACTACATAGAAGACAAGAAGAAATAGTAAAATGGCAAAAAAAAAAAAAAAGGCAATAGAGTTAAACTTCATGTGTTAAAACAATGGAAATTCCTGGTACCTGTCCCTATCCACTTTAATACGTTCCAGGTTAGTCCATACATACTACTGGACAACCGTGTTCAACATAGCAGGACCTTTTAATTGGGAGATCAAATATGTTCGGTATTCAATGTCAATGCCAAAATAACATTCTGCTCTGCATATGAAGAAAATAGAAATTACATTATTCACTTCAGTAAATATACATTCAAATTTCTAAGGTTCCTTTGACACCCACCCCAGCCCACCTCCTCACCATCAGTTTAACTGAATATCCTCCAGGCTAGTTTTGAACACCATTTTTAAGAAGGATTATAAGCTCTTGGTGCACACTGAGTGTATCTTTATTTTTATAAGCATCATTTTTAAGCACATTCTATGGCCTAGGGGCTGCTATACACAAATGTTGTAGAATGAAAAGGAAATATGTGCACCCTGTTCCCAAAAGAACAGATCATTGTTTAAAAAGTAATATAATTGCTCTTTGAACTGACAGTTGACAATCACAGAACGAAAACCATGCTATGGCATCCTGACATAGTGCTTGAGAATATGAAAAGAAGATGGTATCTAATTTCCATGTCCTAAATGTGTTTTTTAGTGATAGACTACTCTCTGGAAGTATACCACTAATAATCCAATAGTTACTGGATTATACAAAACAAAAAAAAAAAAAAAGCAAGTAGCAATTCAAAGACAAATGTTTCATAGAATAATATAGTTTTAAGGCTGGCAGAAATATTTTAAGATCCATATAAAAATACTGCAAATAAGATAATTTAGTAATAAGGGGAATTTTCCAAATTTTACCCAATTAACTATTTTTAGATATTATTTTATTCTGATATTATTCTCTTCTTATCAGTTCTGTAATAATGATGTACCCAAAATCACAGTAAAGTTCTATAATAATGATGTACCCCAAATCACTCATTTTTAGTATAAAGTCAAGGAAATGCCCTATATCCCAGGGGACTTTGAAGACATAAGAGATTAATAATAAGTATTTTTAAATGAATACAATAAGATCAAACAGCCTTAAGCAAGATACTTAGGAGTTCCACATTCCAAAGTATTGCCAATGTTCTCTGTCTCAATGCTGTTTTGCAATCCGATTGTGAATTCAAAAGAAGAAATAGGCATTCTTGAAGAACATGAGGGAACAATAATAAAAGTTCAGGCATTGCTAGTTGGGATGCAAGACTAGAGGTGGCTCATTAATAAGTAGCTTCCATTTTGTGAGGACAGCCCTTGTGCAAGGCATTGTTCTCACCCTGGGGAGTCCTGCTGTAGGCATTAAGAAGCGGGAATGAAGATTTCTTTTCCAAATTAAGTTGTCAAGGAGCTCATTTACACTACACAGTGAGTGTATGTGGGCAAGCTGATGAAGATGATGATTTATGATGCTATTGGCACTTAAGTAATTCTGGTGATGGAAATCTACAGCAAAACCCACTTAGGAAGACAAAACAGTACTTCTATTATCTGTGGGAGGTAAAATCACGTGGCTTTTGCCCTTACAAATTTCAAGTTACCCTACTGGGTCTGGGAATGCAAGGAAAGCTCATTTACTGAAGATTCATGCTTTGGTATAAAGTTATTATACAGACTCAAATACATGCCTGTTTTTTTTTTTTTTTTGAAGTTTATATTCATTGGATCTTTAAAGGACTTTTGATGTGACTTTTTGTTTTTTGGAGGGTTGGGGGTATGAGAACTGGATCTGTCCAATCACATGATAGATACCTATGTAACATAGTGAAGTTTAAAATAACTTTAAAAGGAATGAATTGTAGCCCTCCATCTGTAAAGACAGTAAATATGCTTTTTGGTGAATTCTATCTGCAAAAATATGTTCTAAAATACAAGGTAAATACAGAAACACATGAGTAATGATTGTTGTCATCACTAGCTAACTTCTCCATAGTATATCACAGAAAAAAAAGTTACAGAGTACAAAAAAAGTAAAATGATATAAACCAAAAATGAAAATTGTATTTTAACTTCAATATATTTGGTGTGCTTGCTCTATAATTGCCAAGAAATGTAATCTCAAGAGTCTCATGAGAATTAATATGCTTTGATCTTAAATTTTAAAATATGTTTGTAATAGCCCATTTTGGTAGCAAACTGCTAGGCTAGCTTTAGAAACAGAATAAAAATGACAAGTAAATTTTCACACAAGCAAGGTAAGAGGGCAAAATTCATTGTAGTTCTACAGTTAATCTCTTTCTGCATTTTTTGTAAGTGTTTCTACAGAGCACACAGTAAACTCTTACAGTGATTCAATGAAACCTGAATCCATTTTACACTGTCTTAAATATAATGTAAAAGAGCCTTTTATTCATTTGCATCTGTGCATTAGATTGTTATATACTTTTTTTTATGCTGTCAAAATATAAACAAACATTATTTTATTCGCAGCAAAGTTATCTTATTGCAACATTTTTCCTTATAAAAGATTGCAAAATTGTGGTCACAAAAATTGACAGAACATGCTTTGTTCTTGTTGCTATGTCTAAAGCATGCTGGAGCAACTGACGCCTTTGTTTTGCTGGTATAAAATGATTCATCAAAATTTCCTCTCCCATATTCCTGGATTCCAAGAAAATGTGGACAATCTGTGTGTTTTATTTTGTATTACTATGCTAACAAAATCAGGTGCATATGTTCATGTATTCACAGGCAAACAATGTATATGTAATAGTTACTAAGTATGTAAACACTGTAGTTTTTTGATAGCAGGAAAATAGTATGAATAAAATTAGAGATTCAATAAAGGTTTTTGTTTTGCTTTGCATATTTTTTCTAATTCATCCAATGATTAATATAACTAGAGTTAGCTTAAAATTATTTTCAAATAAGTAAATCTATGAAATCTATAGGATTCTGTGAGTTTTCATGCTAATATTTAATAGGCTTTCATCTTAACTGAGTAGCCATAGTAAGCACACACTTTGAAGAAGTAGATAACTTCACTTATACATGAACACATAAATAAAAAATATTAGGATGTAAAGAAAGGCTCAGAAATTACAGGCGGTAAGCATTGTTTCTTAGGATCTAGAGTCAAATAATTGAGGCTGTGCTTCAAATTATAATATATTTTAGGTTAAAAAATGGTATTGTTTTAACAGCATCTACAATTTAGTAGGGCTAATGTTTATCAGGCAGAGCAACTTACCGTTAAAATGCCATAACATTGATACCTCATTTTTTGTCTTAAAATGTTAGAATTCTTTATTTTTTTAAATAAAATATTAGTATTACAAACTGGAACAGGACGGTGAGTTTGAACCACATAGGAGAGCCACATTACATAATTGAGAATTGAGTTCATATGAAAATGTATACGTTTTGATATGATCAGCCCCAAAAATCAAATTAAAGAAAACTTCAATATACTGTTACCGTTTTGATAGCCTATTAAGAAATATGAAAATTTTCTTTTATATAAAATTGTCCTTCTACCAGATATTCATTTTAAATGTTTTTCATAAATGGCATGTTAAAATAATCTGCTTTTCCAGAAACGTCCTCCCTGCCATAATGACACCCCATGTTGTACTATAAGTGCTTCCCAGTTCTCAGAGCACCTCCCAGCATCCCTGCGCGCTGGGCTGACCGAGCAGGGTCATTGCCTCCACTCCACAGATGGGAAAACCGAGTCCCAGAGAGAGGCTACTGAGGTCGGCCTACAGTATTACAGGTGTCTCACTTTTTTCTAATTAAAAAAAATATATATATATATATATTTTTTTAATTTTGATCAGACCTATATCTTTTTGTAGACCATACACAGGAGCCTCATATGCCTCCAAGATCCTTTGCCAAAAAGAACCTTGGCAGAGGCTGCCAGGGATGATAAACAACTTCAGACTCACTCTCAGCGGGGCTCCTTCCTAATGCAGTTTCTGGCATCCATCTCAAGAAACAAAGAAAGAAGAAGAATAGGAGTAGAAAAAGTCCGCATGAAGCTTTTTTCTAATATAAAATAAACTCCTGCAATGTGCTCAGTTTTAGATTGGTCAATTTAATAACTTATTTTATTATACAGTATAACCCATTAACAACCTGTATATAATAAAGGTGTAAGTACAAACACATATGTGTATTATATATTAAGTAATAAAAATAACAAGTACTCGTATATCTTTCAATCTCTGAAATACTATATTGTCCTCGAATGAGGTTTCCTGCTTGTTTGAAATTGAACATAAGGTTAACGGAAATGAGGAAAAGAGGACTAAAATAACTTAGAGCAGTTAAAACACAGAAAAGATATTCTGGCAGCCAGCCTTCTGTTTATGTCATCAGCCTTAATAAACAATGTTTAGAAGTATGTATCCTAACACGCAGCCAAGGTACCCCTAATGATTTTAGGTTGATTCCCTCACAAACTGCCAACAGCATTTTAATTCAAACTGCATCGTCCATGTAAGGACAGTAAAACTTGGATCTTAATCAAACCATACAGTCTTCAATTTAGAAAACCCCCATCGCATTTCTTACGTGAAAATGGAGTCTGCTGCCTCTCCATCCTCACACACAGTTTTGAAACAACTCATCTTATCTTAAAATGCTGGCTTCATTTCTGTTGGTGTTCACTGATGGAAATATTGAATTGGAAGTTGTACCACATAAAGATGGTATCTGATAAAAGCAAATTACTTATCCAGAAAATCTTCTTAATGCTGTCTTTTTCACATTTCTCTCCCCAAATCTTCCTGTTTGAATATGAAGCATGTATCAATTGAAATGCATCTAAAGTGTGCAATAGCCACCCAGACCTTAGCTAGGTCTGCATATATGGCGGTGTGTGTTTGTGTGAGCACTTTCCAAAGAGGAACAGTACAGATTTATCATCCCCAAGTCCTAGTTCCTTGGCCTTGGCTTCCTCACGTTTTGAGAGTTAGGACACGATGGGGAGGGATAAGAGCAAGCCAGACATCAAACCCATTTATTCTGAACCTCAAAGTATGACTTTTTATCATCAATATTTTGGTTACATTGTTACACAAAGAATAAGTTAACATCCGGTTTGAAGTCTCATATTCGATTGCTTTGGGGTCAGTGACATTTCCTTGGCACCCATCAACTTTCAGCTGTGTCTTAATAGTATTGTTGTTCAGGGTGCCAAAAGAGAAGGATTTGTCAAACTGCTCCTAGGACGCCTTCGCCAATACCTTTAACGACTATGACTTCCAGGTGGCTTCCAGGCAGGCGCAAGCAGGAGAGTGTCAACACATCCCTTTCCCTGGCAGATCAAAAAAGGATCCTGAGGAAGAGGAGCTGGTCCTGTTTTCTTTGAAGCACCTGATCACTGTGCGCTCAATCAGAGGTGGATCCAAATAAATTAAAAGTCAGGGTACGTTCGGCAAAGAAATAGTGTGTTTAGGGGGTTTGGTCATTACAGCTTCCACTCCCAACTTAAAAGATTCAGGACCACCCCATAACAAGAAGTTCTTAAAGGATTCCGGGGTAAATTAAAAAAAAAATCCAGGTTGCTAGTTCTAAAGGTGCATCTCAGAATCTCTTTGAAAGAATAAGCAGAATTCTCCTCTGTTATTTTTACTTTGATAAACAGGTACTTTTTGTTTGGTTTGGTCTCATCCAAAACAAAATATACAGGTATTTGTTTTGTTTTGTTTGGTCTTATCCATGAATTCAACATACATTTTCTCTCCCCTCCACCCCAGCAAGAAAAATAAAAGTGGGGTTGAAGAGGGAGAGCTGAGTGTAGAAAGAAAAGTAAAGCTTTTCGAGGCCAAAAAAGAAAAAAGAAAAAAAAAAAACACAAACAATACAAAACAAAAGTTGCAGTCCAATCGTGCAAAATTTGCTTCTCTAGATAAAGCACTTCTTGACAGGTTCACAATGTCCCCATCCCCCTCCCAAGTCCTCCCATCCACCCAGTGGGGGAAAAAACACAGAATGAAAGTGAAGCCATTCTTTTTCTTAAGGCTATACAGACACAAACAGAACACATGTCAAGGACCATCCAGCAGGTGGTTTTTTGATGGGCTCTTGCTTTGAGCCCTGACTGCAACCTGCAATCCATCCTGGGGGCAGCAGCACTCCTTGCATTGGGACAACAATACACCGTACAAACAAACAAAAAAAAGGTAAGTCAATGGTCCCAACAATAAAATCCGATATTGACTTTACAATCACAGGTACAAATTGCTCAAATCGATAATTTCATTTCTCCTTAAGACCTTGTCATCTAAAACTAATTAGAGGCCAGGTTCCCGAGGAATTGTCAATATCCGAAAAAAATACTGGAGATTTAGAAGGAAATCATTCTTCTACCGCAACAGTCTGACGGAGGTTGGAAACAAGTTGTCCTATTAGGGCAAGTTCAAGGGTGTTTTGAAGGGTGGATTCCTGGGTCCAGAGATGCAACTTTTCCACCATCCAGGGGGCTTTGCATTTATAGAGGAAAAACCAAGAAGCCGGAGAATGTGGAGTATTTCCAGCCCCCCATGAGGTTGCCCCTCTCCAGTTTGAGATGCACTTTGTCTTCTCTTTCCATGAGCAGCAGGACGCCATTACTAGCAGCTTCTCTGGTAACATCCTGGTCTCCTGCAAAGGCTGAGATCACTGGGTAGCCATTCTGCATTAAACTGACCTAAAATGCAGAGAGTAAAGCTCAGCAGATCGTAAAGAACCCCGGTCTCACACACTGTTCCCTTCGTTACCAACATCCCCACTCCCACCTCCACCCTTCACTTAGGGCCCACACCAGGGGGCCTGGCAGTGAGGACACAGGGCAGTTCAGAGCCACTCCCCCCAGGAGAGCCCAGGTCCCTGCTCCTCTCAGCCCCACAGACCACGTGCCTTTAGCAATGGGGAACTCTGAACCCACACCGGGAAGGGTCCAGTGTTCAAAGCTACCCACCTGGATGGTTTGTCTGTTATACACTTTGACCACGTGGAAGCTGAAGCTATAAATTCCTTTTCTCGGCGCTACAAATATACTGGAGGCAAGATCAAAATGGTTGCCGATATTTACTAACACCTGGAAGAGAAAAGGGAACACAGCACAAACATAGCAAGGCCCTCCTCAGCGCAGGGTTTAATCATACCTGGATGACCACGGACGCCAGTTCATTTATAAGCTGCAGAGCAGTTGGGAACACAAACTCAGCATTGTCAGGCTTCCCCAGGAAGGAGGTAGTGCTGAAGTTAAAATATCCTACAGTGGGAATTGATTTCAAAGATATTCTACTTAATTGTAGTTAATAAAGATTTTTAAAATATATTTTACTTATGCATTCAAAAAGTGAATGTGAATTTCAGATGCTGGGGGTGAGGGCAGGGCAGGGAGAAAGGAATGAAAGATGGTAAGCCCAGTAAACAAATCGTAAACTGAGTCTGTAGAGGTCTGTAGAGGTTTGTGGGGACTTCAACTATGATGCCTTGTTTAACAGAAACAGAGTTCCACACTGAAGGGGCAGAGCAAGGCATAGGGACATGGAAATGAGTTCACTTCTGTAAGAACAAGCTTGGGACCTAACTTCGTGTGCTCCAGGAGGAAATGGACCCTGTGAGGGAGGGTACACTCTCCAGTGTTTCCCAGTGCCTGGAACACTCTTGGGCAGCACACAGTAGGTGCTCAATAATGGGTGTTGAATGAAAGACAATGACAAACATTTGCTGCCCATGTTTTTCCTCACTTTCCTCTAAGCAATGTGGCTTCCTCAGCTGAGCTGGTGTCTGACAAAGAAGCTCGAATAAATAAAGAATCAGCAGCGTGGACACCCTTAGCTCACACTAACAGAATTCTACAACATGCAATTCTAATACTGACCAAATTAGACACCTGATGTGAGATCACATGACCCTGTAGATGGTTTTCCTCTGATCAAAGGGGAATTGGTGTTACAATGTCATAAGCATAACTTCACCAGTGGCAGGTCTCCTGTATGACCCAATTTCCTTTCAGATGTTCAAGACAGAATCTGGCCACTTTGGGTCCTGTCCCGATCCTCCTCCTCGCCCACAAATGCACAACGAATAACGTTCTCGGCTTTTAAGACAAAGAGCCAGCAGCAACATCAAAACCCTAGATGAAAGATCTTGTCATCTAATCAGAAAATAAACTCCAGCCAGAATGCCTTTTGCTGTTATGTCCTACGTGCTCATTATAGAATAGCGTGCAATTCTGTAACTCCCAAAGCAGTGCCAACTGCTGCCAGTGACAACCGCTGAAATGGCTTGTGAAACATGCCTGCCCCACCTTCTCTAGCCCGGCTGTGAGCACCACTTCAGCCCCACTCAAGGGCAGGGCTGAGAAAGACACTCTGGGCTCCATTGTCAGAGACAAGCACCTCGGCATGCCTGCTCTCCTCTCACAAGGCTGCTCCTCTCAGTGCTCCTTACAGAGCTGGAGAAAAGAATAAAGGATTCTCCATTTAAGCCCTTAGAGCTGCTTTTTCCCTTCATCTCAACTCCTTCGCCACAATTTTAAATTCTGGAAACCGGCAAATTCAGGGCCCTGCAGCAGATGAAAGAGCACCCTCGACCAGGCCCTGGAAATCAGGCCTCAGGACCTCCCTAACTGGAGAGCCAGGGAAACATTATTTCACCCGCACTGTATAAAATTAGAATCCTACTACTACTTATCCTGCCCTACATCACAGAGTTTTCTTGACACCCAAATGAAATGGTGGACGTGAAAATGCTGTGAAAAGTACTCGTAAAACATTGGTAAGTGAATAATAATCATCTAATAACACATAAAGAAAAACTTACTAATAGGGTATACAATTCCTAAATGCCTGTTTCACTGTTGTCTCCATTATTTTGACATCATAAAATAATTATGCTTATGTCTTATAAATAAAAAGCAATTAAAGAGACACTCCCCAAATAAAACTCCCTCAAATGAATGAACCTTAATAAGGATTTAAAAAATAAATGCACTGGCCTAAAAAGAGGCAAGTGTGTGGGCAGGTTTATCATTACTTAGGTTTAATTAAGCCTTGTCAACAGAGAGAAGAAAGTCCATTACACAAGTACGGTAAGCCCAGCTATGACTGAGGAGGACTCGGTATTCCATTTTGTGGGAAACAGTGTGGCAAAAGGATTAGCTGATTAGCTAAAGTTTGGAAGCCATTGTGATGTTTTCAACTTGTTTCTGAAAAATAATAAAAACCAAGGGTGGACAGCCCATTAAAGAAGGTCACAACCTTTATCCCTGAGAACCAGTAACTCAGAGAAGGGACTGCAAAGGCCTGATCATATTTCTGACCCTTCTGCTCTGAACCAAGTGGCAGAAGTTAAGTGGCTTTAGGCCACTTATGTTGCTGCTCTTTATTTTTCTTAATTTATATAACCACACAGTATATATTTATATATTGTACATATTGCATTTGCATATTGTATGTATTTCATTTACTATACACTGTATTTATATAACCACATTCTTTATTTTGCCTTGTATTTACATAACCAACCCTGCTATTTCACCCACACTCTTCCCCAGTTATTTTTCTTGAAGATAGACATCCCCTCCCCCAGTCCATTTCTCAAAATGAGCAATAGGTGTGTATTTTCTAAATGTTGCCTGAAACCTTTGAAGGGTGCCTTTCTTGAGTGTGCAGAGATTTAACTGCACCCCATCCTTACGGTGGCCACCTGGGTAACCAAAGACCATGAACCACCAGTTTTTCCTACCCCACTGCGAGAAGTAACACATGCAAGGCTTCCTTTCTTCCTTTCGGGAAATATATTTCAAACCTTTTGGTTTTACGGGACTCTTAGAAAACTTAGACAGCTTTGCGGGACGCTCAGTCACACGAACGCAAAGTGAACAGATCTTTAACAGTAAAACACAAAGACTGCAATGTGAAAAGGTGAGACAGGAGGAGTGCATACTTAGAAAAAAGGAAAAGGAGTAGAGAAGGCAGAGCAGGCAGGGCAGAGAGGAGGAGAGAGCCCGGGAACTCCCGGTCCGGGAAGCCGGGGACCCCAGCCCGCGCGCCCGGGCCCGCCCTCTCCTCCCGGGGCTGCCGGCGGGGCGGGCAGGCCGCCGCTGACCTGGTCGAAATAGATGGTCATGGTGCGATTGCTCATCTCGGACGGCTCGTGGTTGGTGCTCCGCGTGGCGGAGAAGGCCACCTTGGCACTGCCGGAGCGCACGGAGATGCCCAGGGAGGAGGTGACGGCGCCGTCCGCCGACGGGCTGGAGTCGCACACCACCAGGCACTTGCCCTCCAGCACGATGGGCTCCGTGTCATTCTGCGCCCGCACCGGGCAGCAGGCGGGCAGCAGCAGCAGCAGCAGGGCCAGCGCCGCCCCCAGGCAGGACCCGCAGCCGGCCGGCTCGCGCAGCGCCCCCCGGCGCCCGGGCATGGTCAGCGGTAGCCCGCAGGGGCCCCGGCCGGGCGCCGGCATCCGGGCTGGCAGGGGGCGGCGCGCTGGGGCGGAGGCGGCCGCGCGCGGGAGGAGCACCCGAGGGTGCGCAGGAACGGGGGCGCCCGGAGTAGCCTCTTCTGGCTTTCGTCCCCTGCTCTGATGGCCAAGGCCAGGGTCGTTCTCAGAAGAAAGGTGCCAGTGGACCTGTCAGGGCAAAGAACCCCAAACCCTTACACAGGGAGCGGAAGCTGTCGGGCACCAGGGGAATGGGGCGCAGGTGTCTGCAGCTCGGGCGCTCCCTCCAAAGGCCACTCCCTTGGTCCCAGTCACAGCCACCCCCCTCTCCGATTTAGCACAACAGGTCCAGAGAAACGCCGGGCGCACCCGGCAGCGCATCCCGGGAGGCTCCGGAGCAGGGCGCGCGGGTGCGGGGAGGTACGCGGCCCGCGACTCTGCAGGTCCCGGCCGGAGACCCGAGAGACGCCGCCAGCGCCACCCCGCCCCTTCAGCCAGACGCGGAGGGGTCTTAAGACACAGGCAAAGGAAAAAATCCACACATGCTCTCTCTATCACTTTCATTTCAGCAGCATTTTCTGGAAAGCAAGACCAAGAGTCCCTTTCCCTTTCCCTGCTTTCCCTTTTATCCTGTATCTGTCCATCCTGCAGATGCTTTTAAAGTCAGTTTAAGTCCCTTTGGTAAAGATTTTATCCATTCTCCACCCAAAGAACGAACCCCAGGAATCTCCTTAGAGTGAATAAAATTAAGAGGGGAAAGAAGAGGGGGGAGACACACACACACTAAAACCGAACACCCACTTCCATTGTCCGCGCAACCACTAGTGAGCCGCCTTGGAGAAACCCCTCGGAGCCCCTCCGGCGAAGGACAGAAGATCCTAAGGACGGGAATCGCAAGCTCTGCTTGTTTTCCAGCTCTTGTTTCTAGATCGGATCTTCCCTGGCCGGGAGGCGACCCTGTAGGCTCCTGCTAACTTGCGCGCCCATTTGCACTTTTACCCAGTCCGCTCTCCCCCCAGTACCCTAGACAGGGCACTTCCATACCCAGCCAAGAAAAAAAGAAAAAGCAAAGAAGCGTCCCCACCGCCCACAGTCTCCTATCAACTCTTCCAATATTCTTTCTAAGAAACATCCTCTGTCCTCAGCCCCGGTAATAAATGATTTCTTTCTGTCTCTTCTCTTCTCTCCATTCTCTCTGTCCTCCTTCTCCTCTTTTCCTTCCCCTCCCCCCGAACCTAGAGTAGCCCTGTCCTCACTGAAACACACGCATAGGGCAGTTGACACTCAGCACCCGGAGAGGCAGGGCAGGGGCGGGTTTGGTTACCTGGAACCTCCATGGTGGGCGAGCGCCTCAGTCCGCGAAGTTGTTCTGCTCAGAGAGAATGAGGCGAGCGGAGCTGTCGGGAGGAGGACACGGAGCGCGACCCTTCTCCCTGCGCGTGGCCAATAACCGCGCCGCCCCGCCCTGCCGCTTTCCCGCGCCGGCCCGCGCCCGCTCCGGGCATGCACCACGCCCCGCGCCCGCACGCCCCGCACCTGTGTGCCCGGCGCCGCGCCCCGGACCCGCGCTGCCCGCGTCCAGCTCAGCCAAGCGCCCCACTCCTCGCCCGCACCGCGGCCCCGTCCAGCCCGCACGCTTCGCGCCCCGCACCGTGGCGCCGCAGGTCCCGCGCCGCTGCCTCGGGGGCCCCCAGCGCCCCGGTGCCCAGCGCGCCCGCAGCGCGGCCCCTCCGCAGGTCCCCGCGGCCCGGGCCTGTCCGCCGGTCTCCAGAGGGCACAGCCCAGCGCTGCCAACGCCCCGAGGACTCGGGAGAGCCCTCCTCCGGCTTCGGTACCCCCGCCCGCACGCCGGCGGCGCCCTGCAACGCCCAGGTCAGGCTCTCACCCAGACACCCAGAGCGAAATCCTCCCAGGTGCCTCTTAAAAAAAAAAAAATTAGGCACCCTCGAAAGCACAGGTCGCTTGTCTTCTTTTAGAGTCTTTCTTTTCTTTTCCAAATTCCCTCCAGGTCTTAGTCTTGAATAGCATGACCACTTTCATAATGAAAGGAGAAAAGGCACAGTTTTCTTAAAAAAAAAAAATAATAATTAAAAAGACTGGGATGGAGACAAAAAGCTTGAAAATTTAATGATTGTAAAAAGAGATGTGGTTCCAGGATCTCCAATTTGGAAGATGTCAGGTTTTGGCAGGGATTGAAGAAATGCCTCTCGCCTGGGTGTTAAGCGTCTGCTCCTTGAACCTCGGGACTCGCGGAGCGCGCCGGCGCTCGCGTTTCTTTATTGAACTGCGGGCTCGGAGCTCCAACGGCCTGGGGAGACGCGCGGGTCTCCGCGCTGCGCCGGGAGCGCGGGCCAGACGCGCAGGCACGGACGTGGGGCGCCACCTACGGGTGCCGGAGCCTCCCTGCGGCGGCTGCGGACCCCGGGACTCCGACCGGAGAGCGGGGGAGTCCTGGCCACAGGGCTGAGGTTTGCCTACCGACTTCTTTCAGAGCAGCGCTGGCCTCTGCGAAAAACACAACAGCAGGAGCAACAGCAACGATAGTATCTGGTCTTTAAGGTTCTCTTCAATATCTTTGCCTCCACCCCCCTCCCTCCCCAGGCAAAATGAAGCACCACTCTTGATTTTGCAGATCTTTACTGCTCTGACAAACAACCCTGCCAAGAAGATGCATGCTGCAGTGAGGTTATCATGGTGACTGCCTGCACAACGTTTGCACAGACCACACCGGTCTGTATAGTCCATGCCAGCCTTAAAGAACATATTTAAATGTGCACTCTCTTTACAACTTGATTTTTGAAACCTCCTTTAAAAAATACTTTGTCCTTTGACTTGCATAGGATACCTTTGCTGACAGGCTAATCTAAAAGAAACCTGGGGTCGGCCAATGCTGTTCATTAGAACACAGCATCCTTATTTCTTATTCCCCCACACTTCACACCTACCCTCTTCCCTTTGAAGATTTCAGCAGTGTTCTGATTCCTCCCTAAGAAATGTGGGTCTTTTCAAGGAGGGGGATTTGAAGGCCCTCTTTCCCATAGGCTCTCTCACAGCTATTGTCTCGATTTAGAATAGAGCTGCCAAGGCCTCATTTCCAAGCACCAAAGGTGAAATTCACGTCAAATCAGTTCAGCTGGAATGGATGTGCAGGAAGTCCAGGGCAAAGAGAATAACAGCATTGCGCGCTGTTGGACCGCTGGATGAGGCAAAATATTTACAATGGGTATAAGGATGTGATTAAAAGAAACTCTGGGCCAAATGCTTTCTACTTACCATAAAATGCAAAATAGTAAAAATATAAAATAGCTCCTAAATCTCTCACCCTTAATCTTTTATAACATGTTGGTCATCTGTACTGGACTTCGTTGGGAAGCTTTTTCAAATCCACCATAGGTTGCTATGTTTTGTTACCATTTATTTTTTTAGTTCAACATAATGGAAATAGTTCATTCTTACTTTCAGATAGTTACTTTATTCCAATGATGCATCAATTTGGCAGTATCCTATTGTCAGAATAAACACAACTCTGTTATTTCATCCTAGAGAGTACTGATTTGGGTGCAAGCATAATAGCAAAGGACACTATCACAAAAGAAATGTCAAACACAGACTGATAATTAAACCAATGTGGGGAAGCTAATTAGGTAGCAATACCTCACACATCTATACATCTTTAAATAACAGCTCTATTCAGAGACTTTGCAAATTCTGTGCTACGAACATTCCCTTTGACTAGTATAAATGCAAACACACATAAACCAAATTATTTATTGTCTTCATTTTTTGCAGAAAAGCAAACCTCTTTTCTATATAGCAATGAAAATGTTTAAATAATATATGAAAAATGAATCTATGTAGTGGATCAATTATTGAATGGGGGCAGTAGGCATTCTTATGTACTGAAAGACCTGGTTAGGCTTAAATTTAGGCTTGAGATTATTTTTAGAAGGGAGTTAGTAATTGTGACAGGAAGCAGAGTGACAGACAATTTGATTATTTATCCATTAGTCAATTGGTTGTTTTACCTATAAGAAGATATTTAGGCCAATCGGTGGACTTTCAACTCATAAGTATGTTTAGAGAAACTTTCAGAATATACCTAAGATTTAAAAGTGAAAATTTCCAATTATCTTAAGAATCACTTTTTCTGTCCATTCAGTTGTTACTAGTAATCATTGTTATTACTCATAGCACATTAGTGGTAGACTCTATTCCCTTAAGTGTAAGGACATTCCCATAGATAATGATAACAATGTCAGCAACTTATGGAACACCTGTGATATATCAGATACCATGTCTTTTGTCTAGGACGTGACATACAGTTTAACACCCATAATCACCCTGTGGTAGAGATGGATGGTCACATAGAGCTGAATAGGAAAATATTCTAATGTTTTAAAAAGATGTGGAAGGAGAGTCTGAGATAATTCAAATCCTTTTCTTTTGATTTTTTCTAAATGTTTATCTCATATAGAGCTTAAACTTGCTTTCCTTGGATATAACCCACCACTGAAATGCATCTTCAGCATGCATTATAGTCTTTTCTTGCTTCTTTAAACTAATACATCATATTTATGATTCCATTCTCGGTATGCCAAAAAGTATGATCTATCTTGTATTACATACTCTCAGATGTTAAAGACATAAACACACTTTTATGAACACATAAGCATTAATAAATGTTAAAACATCTAAAAGTATTAATAAATGTATTTTCTTCTTTGCTTTAAATTTCAGAATATCATGGGGGCACAAACATTTTGGTTACATATATTGCCTTTGCACTACCCAAGCTACAGATGTACACTATTCTAGAGGGTTAAGATAAGCAAAATATATAATTCTAAATATTGCATTATCAAAATGCATGTTAACTTAAAGATGCATAACAGTAATGAAAAGTACAAATACTCAATGCTATGTGAACAATTATACCTAACAAATTAATGACATAAGTAAAATTCCTTAAAATTTGGAATCAGTTCTAAATTAGTCCACCAGAAAGACCAAGAAAAGTTTGTTTATATGAGCCACTGGTTTGTGATTGTTGAATAAAATTACTATATAATCTCAATAACCTGATAAAATCAGCTAAACAATTTGTAGACTTAGTTAAAAAATAAACCAGATTGGCTGACTTCAAGTCAATTATGATTCTTTGCATCATATAGTCATATTGCACTAAACGAATTATCTCTGCCCTTCAAGAACATATTGAACTATTTTTACAGATGATATACCCTCTATTTTTCTGGCACATATTTCAACAGTCAGTAAACATTCTTTTTGGGGTATGGTTTGAAGTAACTAAAAGAGTGGAATTGGAATGTTCCTAACATAAAGAAGTGATATATGCTTGAGGTGATGGATACCCCAATTACCCTGATTTGATTAATACACTTTGTATGTCTATATCAAAGCATCACATGTGCCCCATAAATATATACAATTATGTACCCATCATCTGAGAGATCCAGTGTTTGAAGGAGGCTTGAGATCTGAGCATGGTACCAGTGTCTGCAGTTGTTGATCCAGAGTCAGCAGATATCTTAGTGAACACCTTGTCACTGTCTCCTTGTTGAGCTGGCTGAGCTGCCTTCGTGACTTGCAAACCCTAAGGTATTGCTGTTGTGCTACAGCCGCAAACTGTACTGCGAATGGAAATCTTCTAACCCAATGTAGAATAAAGGTAACTCAAATACTACCCAAATCTAAATATGACCTTCTTGTTGTTGTTTCAGAAGCTATTTCATTGCATTAACCAATTATTTCATGCTTGGCATTAACTCTTGATCTTGAGACTATTCTTTGAAAACGAAGCATCCAACAGAAATATTAAACAACAATACATAGGACCGTTTCGTTTTAATACTGAGCAACTTGAAGGCTAGTGTTTCATACAGTTGCCCTTTGCCCAAACTCGGAATATTTAGTTATCCCTCCAGATCCATTCTTCTGATCTAGTCTACTATAAAAGGCATTTTACAGTGATCATGAGTTTTAGAGAGAAA